CTATCTATCTATCTATCTATCTATCTATCTATCTATCTATCTATCTACTTATTTTTTTATTTACAGCTCTGAGGATTACTTTGAGGACCCTGTGCATGGCTAGGAAGATAAAAGATAGATAGATAGATAGATAGATAGATAGATAGATAGATAGACAGACAGACAGATAGGTACAAGTAGGTCAGATCATTATACTGATCCCCTGTTGCTGTCCCTGGGAGGTGCCTGTGTATGGCACTGATTTTGGTCAATAAAACAAGAGGAAACCCAGTGACCTTGTGAGGTCAGGGTGCTGAACCCTGGCATGTTATGAACATTTGTACTTTACTCTGAGGTCAGTGGCTGCATTCCTTAGGGGCTGCTGTTCTGGGTGGTTCACCTTCCTCCTCTAAAACAGAGTATGTTCCCAGAGGCCAGATCACCTGCCCTTGACACTGTGCTTTAGGTTTGGGAAAGGCAGGCATCTTTGTCTACTGTGTCAGAAGGAGATCTCAGTGTGGCACAGGGTGGCTGGAACTAAGTGAGATTTAGAAGGAAGTTGATGTCACATTGGAGTTGACATTGCCACATCCAGGAACACAGTCTTGGACTCAGTCAGGGGTCCCAGTTCTCCTCCTTGGAAAGCTATGTGGCATCAGGCTCCCAAGAGAAACACAACATTTCCCGCAAGTTTTTGGTCTCTCTAGTTCCTTGGATTTGATGAAGCATTTCTAGTGAGAGGCCCTGAAGCCCTGATTTCCCAGGATTCCTCTGAGACTGAAAGGAAGTAGAGATTTATTGCATTACTTCACAAAAGAAAAAAAAAAGAATATTGGAGAGTTACTCTATCAAGTGTTAGTACCTTGGGAATAAAATTCAGTTGCTCAATTTCCCCTGGCAAGCAATCTTTCTGACCAAGCCAACTTCCATCAACTCCTATTCCCCTCAAAATCTTCAGGTTAAAAAAAAGAGAATTTTCTGCTTGCTTGCTTGCTTTCTCAGGGCAGGGTGGGTGGACTTCAGCAAAGTCTACCGTGACTTACCTTCACGGCATAGTAGTGAACGCCGTAGGTGGGGAGCGACTCCACGATGCTCATGTAGCTGTGAAGGCAACGCACACAAACAGCACGCGTCAGTCAGGAAGCAGAACCCCTCCACACAGATGCTCCTGTGCTGTGTGATGAGGCTCTAGAGTGGACATTAACTTGGAAATGAGCAGATACAGCCCTCTTCCTACATACCTTTCCAAGTAGAAATAAAAAACCTTGATAGGGTGGCCTGTTAACATGCATAGTCTTGTGTGTATGTTGTATGTATGTTGTATGTATGTATGTATGTATGTATGTATGTATGTATGTCTATGTGTGTGTATGCTTGTGTTTGTACACCTGTATATACAAGTGCAGGTATGTGTAAGCTGATGTGGGATGTCTTTCTCTATTACTCTCCACATGATTTTTTTTTGAAACTGGGTCTCAGTGGTGTGGAGCTCACTGATTTGGCCAGGCTGGCTGGCTATTGGGGACCTGCTTATCTCTGCCTTCCTAGGGCTGGTGTTACATGGTGCCATTATATTATGCACATTGCCATGCTTGGTACTTATGTGGGTTCTGGAGATCTGAACGGGGTCCTTCTGCTTACAGAACAAGCACTTTCCTGGCTAAGCTGTCTCCCCAGCCCCCAAACACAATCTTAGTGAGCAATCAGAAGGGCCACTTACTTCACAATTGCTTGTCCTCTCGTCTGGCCATTCAGCTTCTTGTAGTACTCAATGACTCTGTCTTCACTAGAATCAGAGGAAAGCGTTCTGACATTAGAGGCTGAGAGCATCCTGCCCCCTGAGCACTAAGACTTTTCAACTTCCACCCTCCTGAGAACCTCTGAGGAAACAGCAGCTGGAAAGTAATTGTGTCCTGGAATGATGTTTCACAATGCTGCTCAAGTGAAGTCTAAAAGACTTGGTGGGGACAGAAAAACCTGCTTTCTCCTCAGAGGACTCATGTTATCTTTAACTCAGACTGCTCCTCCGCTGGATAAGATTAGCATGCAGGTTTGGGGGGCTGTTCTTTGCAAGATACCATGGGATAAGATAAGATGAAGAAGCGGTTGGCACCGGTCACTGAGGAGACTGCTGTTAAGTTTGCTTAGCTTACAGGCCCTTTTTGCACAGGGTCTGGGGCAGTGTGGTAATGTTGATCCTATCCAGTGCTCCAGGGCCAAGCTTTTCAGAATAGTCAAGGACTCAGACCTTCCAAGGAGGAGAGAAAATTCCTGAATTTGGGTCTGGTTAATAAAATTCCCAGGGACACACTGGGAAAACAACATACTAGCCAATTGAGTGAAGTTGCAGCTTATTTGTCTTTTGAGGTTTTACATCTAAAACTAACAGGAGATTAGACGGCTTCTCGGTGACAGTGGCTAGCCAGAATTTGCTTTGACAGAATAGAGTGTGGTTTGGGTAATAGTACAACCTTCACGGGGAAGTGATGGATGCCAAGATAGGTGGGAGCAATGGCAGCTCCCACTACAGCTTCAGGGCTCACAGAGCCAGTCCGTGGAAAGAAAGGGGGACAGCTGTCAGCAAAAGGCCGTGTGTCTCACCTACTCGGGACAACCCTAAAAGCCTCATCCTCCATACTCTTTCCTATAGCTTTGACTTTGATTCCCACTGAATTGCTTGTCGTTTCTTCAACCACCAGCAAGGGGACCCCTTCAATTTTCTAAAAGCGCTCCATGAAAGGGAGTATATCCCAAGACTTCATTAGCTGATCTTGGGCATCCATTATTAATTCCTTATCCCAGAATTTAGGTGGAGCATTCTCTTATTTTTTTTCTGTTTTCCTTACCTAGGTTCTCCATTGGGGTCCCCATTTTATAAGTTCATGACCTATGATGGCATGCTTTCTACCCATATAACTGTGATTTGATGAGGTCAACTTCCCAATTCGTGGTCAAGCCAACCAATGGGTACTCAAGCCTATTTCTTTCCTAGCTCTGGGAGAGAGCATCCCTGAGGTGGGGGTGGGAGACTGAAAGTCAGTAGGATGCTGTGAACGTAAGCAAGAACTGAGAAACTTCAACAACATTAAGTCCCAAACACGGACAGGCAGCTGTTCCACTGGCCTGACCGCAAGGTCTCACAGGGCCTGACAGCTGCAAGAACTGCCTCCGCCCCCAGCCTTGTCCAGCTGCCTGCTATCTGAAGCCATCTGGAAAGCCACAGCGGTGACCTCCTCTCGCCTCCGCCTTCCCCACTTCTTCCTCCACATTAAGCCAAAAGAGGCCTGTCATGTGGTGACATACTCAGTGCCAGCTGGGGTCTCATCTAGCCTGTCCCAACTCCACTCCATTCTGTCCCACCTGTCTCTGGAACCTACGGAAGGGATGGGTACCCCTAGCTCTGCAGACCATGACTATAACACCTCAGATCCTTTTAAGGATTGGACAGAATAACAAGGAGAAATGCTCAAGTTATAGAAAATTGAACCCCAAAGCACTGTCCACAGGGCATGATGTCATGCACATTAGCAGGACAGAACGGCACCTTCACACTGGCTAGGTCTTGCTGGGAAGTTACATTACCACTCTGCAAACAAGGAGATACGGAAACACATGCGTGGCAGGAGGGGCAGTAGTGTCGGTGCTGGTGCTAGGGTTTCCTGTCTTGCAGGAGTTGTCAGCCTGCAGATCCAAGGGTTCAGTCTTTATCTATACTGTCGAGGTGACTGGGGTGCCTGGCAATCTGTAACCGGGCTCACTATGGAGAATTCAGGCAGGTCCTAACACCCTCATTCTGTGGTCTTGGGAGTGTCCCTGTAACCTGTAAAGATGCCTCTTTGATAGGGAAGCCATCACAGAGCATGAAGTCCATACTTAAGGGAAAAAAACCGAAAGGAGAATGGCAAAATGACTCAGCATGCATGTGGACCTTGTACTGCCTTCCAGTTACACAGTGTGGCTTATTTTCTCTTCTAATTACAGTCCGAAGTAGCTTGGTGTGCTCAATCCCATGGTGCAGATGGAGAGAGAGGCCAGATTGATATTTATAACCCCACTATTCACAGACCTGTCTGATACTGTGATGAAACCCATGACTTTCCCAGAATGTCACTTGAAAGGGCTCCCAGTGACCAGTCTTGGCACAAAGGAAGCTCACTGTATGTCTGGATGCCAGTGGGAATGAAAAGCCAGGAAGAACGAGTAATCTACATCCTTAGTTCAGGAACGAGCAGGGCCGCTGAGACTGTGTGGCATGGAGAAGGGAAAGGTGTCTGCCAACCAAGGGGTCATGGTCGACTTTGACAATGAGTGGTGATGTGGGGGAAGCACAGAGAAGCTTCGTGTACTAGCTTTTTCCTTTTATTCTGTATCTATACACATGACATCTTCCCTCTGCTCCAGTCTTTGCTTTTTAGAAATTCATGTAAGTAGGTTGAGAAAGCAGAGGCAGCCACAAGCAGCTGAGTACAAGGTAACAAGGTGGGGACAAAGTGAAAGGGCCATGGATTCTTTTGGCATCAGATTGGTCCATGCTATGGACTCGTTCACAGCTGGGTGTGACTGAAGGTATCTGGCTTCCCTGCCCTGCCACTCTCCCAGTGCATTAGACAGCTGAATGTACACTCATTGGTCTGGGTGAGGCCTTAGGAAGGGGCTGGCCTGGTCACATGGCTAAAGGATATACTGGTAAGATGGCTGTGGGCAAATCGTTCAGGTAGAGATGTTCACGTTGACAAAAGGCAGAAAGCAGAGCCAGAAGGAAGGCTTTCTGTATTGGTAATAACATGAGCACAGAGTTGCTGGTGGAGACATGCAAGAATGATCCAGAATGGGAGGGGGGAGAGACGGGGAACCCTGAAGTTGGCATTGGGGTTGGTTTAACAGCGTTAGACAAAAAGGCACAATTGAGGGATGAATTAGGTCGAAGGCAATTCTGACTCCAGACATCTGCCGTCATTACAGCAGCCAAGTGTACTCATCCCTGCATGTGAGAACAATTGGCCTCTCAAGTTATCATCATCATCTTTTTTTTTTTTTTTTTTTGGATTTTTGAGAGAGGGTTTCTCTGTGTAGCCTTGGCTATTCTGGAACTCACTCTGTATATCAGGCTGACCCCGAACTCAGAGAGCCACCTGCCTCCGCCTCCCAAGTGCTGGAATTAAAGGCATGTCCCACAGCTGCCTGGCTCATCATCATCTTTTTACTGAGACAATCTCTCACTATGTAGCCCAGGCTGGCCTTCAACTCACTGATATCACTCAGACTGGTTTTGAATTTGTAGTCCTGCTCTTTATTTATAGCTACATTAACAAATGAAGAATGCTAACAGCAGGTCAGAGGTGAAGTGAGGAGTGGAAATCTACTGGTCGGAGCTCACAGGTCCAGCTCTCCATGGGCTTCTCAGAGAAGAGTGCTAAAGAGCTCTGCATCGTGATCTGACCCACCCCATCTGAAGGCATCCTTAAGTCTACTTAAATAACTGAATACATAGTTTATTTACTGTTGGAAGTGTCTAGACAGGGTGGAATACTAGTCTAAATATTTTAGAATGCAAGCCAGACTCGGTGAGACACGCCTGTAATCTCAGCACTCAGGGAAGGAGAGGCAGGTGGATCTCTCTGAGTTCAAGGCCAGGCTGGTCTATAAAGTGAGTCCAGGATAGCTAAGGCTACACAGAGAAACCATGTCTCAGAAAACAAAACAACTTAGAATGCATTTATAGGTGCTTGGTGTTATAATTTACTAGGAAACACCTGGGAGAGAGGAAAAAGCCTGCTTCTGTTGCCAAAGAAATGATACAGCAGCAGAACTCATGAACTGGACAAGCACAAGAAAGACTTTTTTTTTTTTTTGGAGACAGGTTTCACTCTGTAGCCCAGGCTGTCCTGGAACTTGCTGTGTACCATATTCTGGCCTGGAATTTGCAGTCCTGCCACAGCCTCCCCTAATTCTGGTATTATAGGTATACACCACTACCTCTGACACAGCGGGGAGGGGAGGAGGCTCGTGGAGCTGAACCCTGTGTAATCCTTGAAGAAGGGGAGACTTGATCCTGAGAAGATTCTGCGATAGGGTCTTACCAGTAGGCCAGGGAGGGGTGTTCCTTCAGGGCTTGGGTGGGAAGGGCTGGCAGTTTTTTCAGGTCGCTTCTCACCACCTCATTGCTGAAAGACAAAGTCAAGAAGCAACACATCACAGTCTGAGAACATGACCACCCTGCTTCATACGACCTGACTGACAGAGAGCTCCGACACCTGCTCACTTACAACGGTGGTGACAGAAGGAAGGTGTTTCTGTCTACGTGATACAATGGGAAAAGAACACAGGACACACAGAACTGAGGGGCCTCTTTTTCTCATGCAGAGCCAGGGATACACACGTGGACAGTCTCATCACCTCTGCTCTCACAGAGACACCTCTGCATGCTGGGTTCTGAGAAGCCCTGGGCTTCAATGTGGAAAGAAAAGGATCCCCTGGGGTGGGCCCAGGAGAAGCTTTCAGGGCCCCACAGATGGGCTCACAGACTCAAGAAGGGTAGAATCTCTGCTCACCCCTGGAGCACCACATGCCTCCCTTGATACACAGTGCTCATGATAGTCTTGGCTTAGATTCACCCCATGTGAAAACGGTTTCATCAGTGTGATACGTAAACAGCCCTTCCTTTGAATAAGCCTGGAGATTACTTAGCAAGTGGGAAGTGGATTATCAGGAGGACTATCCTGATACTATCAGGAGGTACTATCAGGAGGACTGATACAGCTGGTCCTGTATCAGAGTGTCAGACCCCATAAAAACACACGCTCAGGGTTGGAAGATAGTTTAAAGTCTCTTGGTTCAACCAGCCTTCTTCAGATGCTTAACTTCCCTCTAGCGTCCCAGGCATTCTCAAGGTTCATATTCATTCGAGTTATAGAAATAAAGTTGCCAGCAAATCTGTTAACGTTCTAAGTGAGTTTACTCTTCAGTGTTGAGCTATTCTTATGGCTACGTAACTAATATTCAGGTTATACACACCTCTCTTCAGTCATTCAGAAGTTCTGCAGCCCTTTACTCTAGGGGTCCCTGCTGTTTATAGTCACACTCAGTTTCTAGAGCCATCGACAGTATACACTTGGATGTGGTTCTGGTATCTAAATAGTGTCTTCTGAAATGGACCCATTCCAAAGCCTCAGGCTCATCAGCTGGGCTTGCCAGAGTTCATCTTGTGGAGACTTGTATTAGATCCATGGCACTAATCCTGGGATATTGGCAGCTTTTTGTGTTGTTCATATAAAGCTGGGTAAACATTGGCCACCAGGAACCTGGACCATACCACATAAAAGCAATGGATAGGAGATCCATTGGAAAGAAGGAAAAAGGAAGGAGGAGGAAAGGGATGGGAAGGCCACAGAAACATGAAAAGCTCTTGGGTTGACTGGAAAGAAATCACCTTAAACCTACGCTGTCAACTTACGGATCAAAAGTTGTTTATATCCTGCATGGAAAACAATGCCAACAGCAATGGCATTAGCAGCTCCATCAATAAAAGCAACTGGGGAAAGCCATGCCAGTAATCCAAGTTCATTTCCGTGGCATCTAGGAATCATGGCTGTTCAGGAGCATTCGAGCTGCTGTCACTTTCCACATGTACCAAGCAGCAGGGACAGGAATGTTCATCTATTCAACTTGAAGCAGCCAGTCAGAAGGGAATTCTCAACTTTGAATTGGTTGACTAGATGTATCCAAGGGCTTGGGCCATTGCAGTCTTGGCAGCATGGAAAGGGCTTGTTATCTCCTGGCCATAAGCTAGAGCCCATACAGTTATAAAGTACCAGGGAAGAGAGAGATGAGATAGGATGCGGTCCTCACCCGAAATGTGTTCATAGGTAGCTGAGGAAACGAGAGATGCTCATTCAGAGATAACTGACAGTGGGGACCAGTGTCTGACCGTGTTAACTTCAACAAGCAGTATGAAGGTTCTGAGGAAATAATGCCTTTTTCAGGTCTGCTGTGAAAACAGCAGGGGTGCTGTGAAGGGGGATGAAAAGCAAGTCTGAAGGCAGACGACCTTCAGTGATACATAGGTAGGGTCCAAAGTGTTCCAGGAGACAATGGCAAAGCCACTGGAGCTGTTCAAAGAGGGCAGCCCCTGGTGTTTCAGAAAATGAGGTTATCAACTATGTCTGAGAATTGCATGCCAGGGAGGCATGATTGGAGCCAACATTGAGTTGGCTAAATACTTGAGACTCTGCAGTGGTGGACAGAGGGTTTTTTCTGTCCACTTAACTATGAATTTACCTGAACATGGAAATTTGACTCAGTGGCTCATCAGTGCCAAGGGTGATTCCTTAAAATATCCAAAGGCACTCTTGCTGGGTCAGGTTTCATTTGTTGGAACTGTGAGATATATCTTTGTGGAGCTGAAACCTGAGTCCAGGTGCCTTCCTCCCATCACATCTAAAATGTATTTGGGGAAGGAATCAAAAAACACAAAGATCGTTTTACCTACCAACCACAGGTTTGTTGGCAAACAAGCATCCCTGATGACAGCCACAGGCTTTACTTCCTTGCTGAGGCTTGCCATGGATTCTCTTGTTCTCCCCCAGGGCAAGGTTACACAGAAAAGTATATGAAAAGCCACCAGGGCATGAAGCCTGTCCAAATCCATTATACTCTGGAAGAGATCCATGACTCCCAGGTCTCCCGAGAGGATGGGGATATAGACATGTTCTGTTTGCCTTTTTGCTGTTTATAAACACCTGCAGTCACTTAAAGGTGTCCAGCCCTGTCAGTCCAGCCAGCACCTGCAGGTGGAAGTCAGAGAGCCATCCTAATGTTCTATAGCCTGACTGTGCCTCTGACCCTGGCAGCTAAGAAGGATGGGCCTCGTTAGAACTCGGGTGAGAGGAAGTCACCTCAATGAGACAGGTGGCTGCTCCACCTTAGGACTCTTCAAAGCTATAGCCTAAAACAGGTACTGAAAGTTCCCAGCTTTCTTGTCCAGGGACTGCCACTGTGGGCATTTCCCCAGAGTTTGGTAGGCCCGACATACACTAGCTTAAAATACACCACAAAGCGGTTCATAGTCCTTTTCTGGCCTTCACAGATGCTGTACTCATGTGCACACACAGTATAAATAATATATATTTAAATCTAGGAAAGAACATTATCAGAAAATTCCCCTTGGGTCAAGTGAGATGTCCATACATTGGGGAAGAAGCATGGGTTCTCTGGAGTATGCTTCATGCGGAGGAGCGCTTGTTGAAACTATTGTTTCAGAAACAAAACCAGCGCAGCATAAGAGAGTAAGAAATTTATAAATGGGGTGATTAGAATGTTATGCTAGCACCGAGCTAAATCCTCCATATTTGATGGGCATATCATGAAGCTGTGGTTCTCTAGGAAGAGAATGTTAGTCAAGTAGAAATGTACAAATCTTTGCACACATTTCCAAAACCTACAAGGCTCCAGAAAACAAATCCTTCTTACCCTGTTTGGTGGCAAGCCCATTTTTCAACTCAAGGGTATGTTTTATTATCCCTTCCATCCAGCAGAAACATTTATCTTCCTTCTTCTTTCTCCCTTTCCTTCCTTTCCAACATCTGCCTTTTTCTTCCTCCTCCTCATTCTATCCCAACCCACCCGGACAGGGTTCAGTTTCATGTAGCTTAGGCTGGCTTCCAACTCCCTATGTTGCCAAGGTTCATCTTGAATTTACAAACATTATGTATATTCATCTTATATGTATAGATGCTTAGCTTACATATATATCTGTGTACCATGTGCATGGCTGTGGAGGACAAAGAAGGTATCGTATCTCCTAGAACTGGAGTTACAGAAAACCATCTGTGACTGCCATGTGGGTCCTGGAAACCGAACCTGGGTCCTCCTGCAAGAGCAACTGTTCTTAACTGCTGAGACATCTCTCCAGTCCCTGACCTTGAGCTAATTCTTGATCCTCTTGCCTCTACCTCCCAAAGGTTGGCATCACAGACACACAGCACCACTTCTGGCAGCATCTGTGTCTTTGTCCAGGGAGAATGATTTCTATGATGCCAGTCCTGCCTGGTCAGGGAGTTAATTCCTACCAGGGTCCAGGGTCCAGCCATTTAAACACTTGTCTGAGTTCTGAGAAATTCTGAATTGAGCGATTCTGAATCTGGAACCATTGGGACCCTCAAATTTCAGATATTCATTGCCAGTCCACATTTCTTTCTTCTTTAGTACAATACCTAGAAAACTCCATGTGGATGAGAAGTGAAGTTATAGACTTATTACTATTGATCTTCAACAAGTGTACAAGAAACAATTTTTGTTCATTCCTTTCTTCTTTCTTTCTCCACGCCACTTTGTTTTCTGTTGGTGAGCCAAGGTACCCCTGAGGTCATAATAAATGAAAGAAAGAAAAGGATGACAGCACACATCCATTTCCTTCTCATTGCATGCTCTGCCCAGATGTGGAAGAATGGCTCAGGGAAACTGGTGGTTAGAAGGTGTTGCAGAGATCTTTCATATGAGATTCACGTATATGTGAAACTTTTGTCATTGCATTTGACATCTGTAGACCAAGGAAAACATCTGGGGACTCAGAGGTTATTTTCCTCCAGGAGACTCTGGATTTTTGACATGTACTATGGGCTACAATACACTCATGAATTATTTATCCTCCATTTCTGATGCTAATCACTCAACTATATGAGTATTTATTCCTTTGAGAGTTTTTAATTTTTCTAGGCTTCAAGGAAATTCTTGTGAACTTCTCAGTTGGTTGTAAATGCATAAAATGCAAACCAAGTTAAGATTTCTTTTCTTAGCCTATGATTTCAGGCAAATAATTTCACTCAAACAGTATGAGAGAAAATAACTGATTACTTCTCTGCTATGTCAGCCTTTAACTTGAAAATCTCAACTTTAAAAATTTGACAGTGTCATGACCATAAACCTCTGAACCTCTGTGCTCCTCAGAGTTCACTCAAAATGTGATACCAAGAGCAAATCCATATTTAACAAAAGAAAAAAGCTGTCACAACACAAAGTTCCCTCCTTACATTATATCTGAACAGTTCCCATAGGATTTGAACAATATCAGCTTGCAAAAATAAATCAATGTGTTTTTACTCTTTGAAATGTAAATCACACACTCAAAAGCACAAATGGACTTCTCTGCACAAAATAATGCTTTCTG